TGGAGATCGGATATCACTACGATGCCCGGGCTGGTCTCAAACTCCTGGGCTTAAGGAGTCCTACCATCTGGGCCTCCCAAAGTGCTGGGATTAGAGGTGTCAACCACTGTGCCCACCCAAGAACCTCTTAATATACTGCATTTAATTGCAATGTATTGGCAGTATTTCATTGAATGTTTTTGAGAGCTTTGAGACCAGACTTAGGAAACTTTTAAAAAAGTGAAACAAATGTAAATCTTTCCTTAAGTATAATGAATCATTTCAGTGCCTTGTTACTATTTCTTTGTATTTTCCTTTACAGTATATTTTTTTAAAAAGGCAGTGGTTTCATTTTATCTTTTTTTTTTTTTTTTTTTTTTTTGATACAGTTTCACTCTGTTGCCCAGGCTAGAGGGCAGCGGCATAATCTCAACTCACTGCAACCTCGGCCTCCTGTGTTTAAGTGATTCTCATGTCTCAGCCTCCGAAGTACCTGGGATTAGAGGCGCCTACCACCATGCCCAGCTAATTTTTGTATTTTTAGTAGAGATGGGGTTTTGCCATGTTGGCCAGGCTAGTCTCAAACTCCTGACCTCAGGTGATCTGCCTGCCTTGCCCTCCTAAAGTTTTGGGATTACAGGTGTCAGCCAGCACACCTGCCCTGATTTTTTCTACCTCCAGAATTTGACATAGTGACTCACAAGCGATCCATAATGTACTTTGTTGAGATTCTAATAGGACTTTAAGAATCTATTTTTTTGTCATCTCTTTCCAGAATAAAATTACAGTGAATGCATAAAGAAGTGATTGATGAATGGTATTAAACAGTCAGTTTTAAGTCTTATTGCCTGTTAATACTACATCACAGATGCTTTCAGAAGCTAGCTTATGTTTCAGCTTTTAAAAATATGCATTAGGAACTGTGCTTCCTGTAGTCTGTGCTCTTTATTAAGCTATGTCCTTTAGTACATCACAGACTAGCAATAGCTGACTAGATATTCATAAATACATTGTTGCTTTATATTCTACCTTGTTATAAAAATGGTTTGAATCAGTATATAAATTTATAGTTTCTAATATAAATTTACATTTTTGATTTTGGTACTGTTTCTGGTGTTAATTTATTCCTAAGTTTAGTATACATCTTTTAAAAACTAATATTTTATGTTTCATATTTGTATACATTTTGTAATTTAATTTTCATCCTTCATTGTGACAAACTTGTCCCACTATACCAACGATTTAACAAAATGCTAGTTAATGATTTATTTAAGGATAAGAAAATAATGATGTAACAGGGACTGGAATTAGTAATTTGAGCTTCTGATGCTTTGGTTTTTTGTTTTGTTTTGTTTTTGTTTTTGTTTCTGAGATGGTGTGTCACTCTGTCGCCTGGGCTGGAATGCAGTGGCATGATTGCAGCGCACTGCAACCTTCGCCTCCCGGGTTCAAGCGATTCCTGGGCCTCAGCCTCCCAAGTAGCTGGTATTATAGGCATGCCACCATGCCAGGCTAATAGGCTAATTTTTTTTTTGTAGTTTTTGGTAGAGACAGAGTTTTACCATGTTGGCCAGTCTGGCATCTCCTGACCTCAAGTGATCCACCCACCTTGGCCTTTCAGAGTGCTGGGATTAGAGGCGTAAGCCACCGTGACCAGCCTAATGCATTGTTTATAGATATGTTTGTTTTTATAAGACTTTTTAAACATTTTTTTTTTAATATCAACAAAGCAAAGGCAAATAAAACCTTCTTTTATATGGCCTTGGTAAAATGAATCCCTTTGGCAAATAATATTGACCGCATGCTATCTTGTCTCAAATGAAGAGAGGGTCAGGTTGAAATCTGGATCAGTGTCTTTTACATTTGAATTTTAAATTCTGTGTAATTTTTATGTTTTAAACATGCTGTTAACTCATGTTCATTTATTTTCTTTCAGTGTTCCCTTGTGTACCAGAACGTCCTGGGATGCCTTGTCCAGGAGAAGATAGTGAGTGTTTATATACATACCTTTTACAAGAGTTACTATGCTATGGTACAAGTGAAAAAGAAATCAGAGATAGAATTTTTAGCTAGGCACAGTGGACAGTGGCTAATGCCTGTAATCCCAGCACTGTGGGAGGCTGAGGTGGGAGGATCATTTAAGCCTAGGAGTTCAAGACCAGCCTGGGCAAAAAGTGAGACCTTGTCTTTCCAAAAACACACAAAAAAGTTAGCATGGTATGTGCCTATAATCTCAGCTACTTGGGAGGCTGAGGTGGGAGGATCCCTTGAGACCAGGAGTTTGAGGCTACAGTGACCCAAGGTCGCACTACTGCACTCTAGTGTGGGTGACAGAGACAGGCCTTGCCTCAAGGGGAAAAAAAAAAAAAAAA